ATTCATATAGCTAGAAGAGCTTCTGGCCTATGATTGGGATCTTTCTGGATATCTTTTTTCGATTTTGACCTCAGAATTCCCAAAATTGCCCTACTATCTTTTATAAAGAATTATTAAGAATAATGTTAACTATAATCTGTATTTAATCTAAAAAAAATAATAGTATTACAAATATATATAAATTGTAAATTAATCAATTATTTATTTTCATAATTGTAACAGTATTTTTTAATCATTTATGAATTTAGTTTTTAAAATATACTATTCAGGAGAAGTAAAAAAATAGTAAATACTATTGAGATTTAATATTAAAATTATTATTATAAATATTTAAAGAAGTAGGTTAGTGTTTATTGATAAGCAATGTTGATTTAGACTAATTAACTTGAATATCATTAAAATTATAAAAATTGTTAGAATATTTATAATATTAGACAAATTTTCTTTAAACTTAGTAATCAATAATTTGTTATCTATATATATGATGGCAAAAATTTTTTTGAGAAGATTTAATTTAAAGAAATTTAATATGCAGTCTTTATTAACATTTTATTATATAACTGTATAATGAGTTTTATATTTTATATAGAAGTAGATTATAATAAATACACTTAAATTTATTAGATAAAGCTTAGAAGTTTTGCAAATTGTTTAAATAGTAAAAGTATAATTTAGCAAAATTTTATTAAACCTTATTAAAAAAATTTATGAAACTCTAAAAAAAGTAAAATTATATTAAAATTTGTAAAATTGTAAAATTATATCAAAATAAAAATTAGCAAAATTAAAGTTTAGATATTTTGCTAAATTTAAAATAAAAATAGATAAATAATCTTAGATATATTATAATAAGGGCTTATATTTTCAAATTGAGGTTAAGCTGATTTATAATTAAATTTAAGTTCTAAATTGATGCTGAATTATTTTGTTTAATTGAAGTTAATTAGTACTGATTTGGATCAATTAAAAAATATATAATTTGACTATAAATAGTATTAAATTAGCCTAAATTTAACTATTATAAAATAGTATAATTAAAAGAATAATTAATATAAAGTTTATAAATTGATAGTTTATTTATTTTTAATTTGATAATTAATATAAAATTTATTTATTTATTTTATTATTTTGAAATTAATATAACTAATTATTATTATATTAATTTTTTCTATAAATTGCTTTACTTTTACTATTTACAAAATCTAAAATCTAATTTATCAAAAATTTACTTTTTTATCTTTATTTTTACTATATGAGGACAACCAAATTTTTTGTTTTTGAAATTTTATTATAATTACATATTAATTGACCTAATATTTTTAGAAAAGTAAAAAAAACTTATATATAGCATATTAAAAAAATATAGTATTTTATAATTTATAATTTTATATTATTAATGAATTTTTTGCAAAATTTTATCTTAGTTTGCAATAAACTGATTTTAAAAATCTTTAAAAATGATGAAATAAATTGCATATTATTAAATTAATCAATCATTTTAAATTGTAATTTCTTAATTTTACGTGATTTGCTAAGCCTTAATTTTTGGTAGGGATTAAAATCAATTTGACTAAAATCAATTTAATCAAAAATTGAATTATATCTAATAGAATCGATTAATCGAATCTAAAAATTAAATCTTAATAACTCAATTTTTTTATATTTTGACATAAAAAAAATAATTATATTACTTCTATAATTGTATTTTAGTAAAAAAAATAATTATATTACTTCTATAATTGTATTTTAGTAAAAAAAATAAAATCAGAATTATCGAAATTGCTAAAAAAGGATCAACATTAATGATCAATATAATATTACATAAATTTTAAATAAATAACATCATTTATAAACTTAATTTTACTTTTTTCTCATGTTATAAAAATATGACTACTACTACATGAAGTAAACATAGATAATTAGCAGAAAAACAGAAATTAGCTCAAGAAGAAAAAAATGATACTGATAATTCTGATTATAATGTTAATTTATCTGAATTAAAACAAGAAATTAGTGACCAAATCATAGATAAAAAGTAGTTGATGTAATTAATATAATTGATAAAAATGATGCAAATACTGGTATTAATGAAAGAATTTAAAAAAAAAGAAAATCTTATAATAAAATTATAAACCTAAAACAAATTGGATATAAAAATTCTTTAAAGAAACTGAAAATAGTGCTAGTATTACTTGTCAAATTGTGGGTTGTGACAAAATTCTTAAATAGTGTGGTTCTTCAAGTTCAATAAAAATACATTTATCAATTATATACCGTATTACTAAAGGTACTGCAGAACATTATCTAGAAGTATTACAAAAAGGTAATCAAAATCTTATTAATAATATAATTTAAGAAGAAAAATTTAAGTCATATCTCTATTTTAAACAAGAATTATTAACTAAAAATATGATTGAATTTATTATTGGCACAATACAACCTTTGAGTATTGTAAAAGACAAAAATTTTATTAAAATAGTAAATAAATTTAATTTACATTATAAAGATTTCTTATACTAAAATTTTTAAAGATCAAATTTCATCAACATATGAAGTAGAAGTAGATAAAATTAAGAATTAATTTTTTCAATTAGAAAATATTTTTTTAACATTAAATACCTGGAGTTCATCAGCATATATACCCTATCTAGGTATTACAGCACATTGGGTGACATCTAAATTTGAACTATATAAATTACTTCTTAGTATAAAAGAACTGCCATATTCACATAATGCAATTGAAATTTATAAACATTTAGCTGATTTATTTGATAAATAGAAAATTAATTCAAAAATTATAGCTATAGTAACTGATAATAGTTTCAATGTAAAGAAACTATGTGACAATATGAATATTGATGAAAGAGTTCTTTGTGCTATACATACACTTCAATTAAATATTGAAAAAGGATTAGATATAGCAAAAGTATTAATTAATAAATGTAAAAATCTTATTGCTTTTTTAGCAAATAATAAAAAGAAACAACAATTAAGAGAATCACAAGTTTATTTATATTAGCAGCAGCAATTACAAAAAAATAAGGAAGAATTAGAAAAAGAAGCAGAAAAACTTATTTTTCTTGATGTAGTAAAAGCTAATAACACTTGCTAGAATTCAACACTATATGTATTTCAAAGACTTATTATTCTTAAACTAACAATTTTAATGTTAAAAACTTTTTTAATAAATGATAGAAATTCACATATTTATAAGAAGGGTGAAAAATTAGAAGAATTGTATCCAGTTGCACATAAATGGAAAATAATTAGAGAAATAGTAGAAATGGTAAAGCTTTTAAGTCCTTTTAAAAGTATAACATGTCTTTTAAGTGGTATAACATATCCAACTATTGGTTTAACATATCCAAGTTTATGTAATTTAAAAGAAATTCTTGAAACTGAATTTATTCAAATGGAAACTGATATAGCAAAAATTGTAAAAAAGCAATCTTAGAAGATTTACAATCAAGATGGGAATTTCCTCAAGAACTTTGTTTAAAAGGATCATTTCTTGATCCTCATTTTAAAAACTTAGGATTTGTTACTCAAAGAATGTGTGAAGAAATTATTAATCAATTGCAAACAGAATATGAAATTCTTAAAGGAGATTTGATTTCTAGTGTTCCAATGATGATCAGAGTAATTTAACAACAATGGCCAGCTTTTGGAAAAAAAAAAAATGAAAGAAATATAACTCCAATAAAGAATGAAGTCCAACATTACCTTAATTTACCAGAATTGCTAGCTCTTGAGGAGTATGATTCCTTTGCATGGTGGGCAACAAATAAAGCCCAATATCCTATATTGCATAAATGGCAATGAAGTATCTTTCTATTCCAGCCACCTCTGTATCATCAGAAAGACTTTTTTCTGATGCTAATAATTTAGTTACTCCCAAAGAACTTTCTTAGATTCAAGTATCATTAATAAAATTATGTTTTTAAAAAGAAATAGGAAACATGTAGACAAAATGAATTTTAAAATTTTAATTTTTTTGATAAGTTTGTATTGAACAATTTAATATATCTAAATAAATCATTGATTAAAAAATTTAGTTAAATTCGCTTAAAATTTTTGTCTCGTGTGATCATCGAAATTGCTGCGCCACAAATGCATTAAAAAAATTGATTGGCACTGTGGAATATAAATTCGGTTTCGATTCGATTAATCGAAATCGAAAATCGAATCGCCAAATCGAATCGATTCCAATCCCTATGTTGCGGGCGTCCAAATACCTTTTTATAAACAATAATTCTATAATAAATATAAATACTATTTATAGATTTATGATTACCGCTGATCGACTGATCACCGTTAACACGAATATCATGCCACTAAAATCGCTTTTTTATAACCATCGGGCGTTTTCAAAATCGGGTTTTTTTTTTTCAGTAGCAAAATCGTTAGTTTTAATTTTTTATTTTTTTTTACTGTAAAAAAAAGATCGAAGAAATAAGACTTTCAAGGTAAAATAAATATACCTTAAAGCAGTGTTGGGGCAATTGGACAATTTTGGGACAGTTTGGACAGGTTATTTCTATGTTCAAAACCTTGTCCAAAATATTTAAAATCAAAAATTGTGTCTCAAAACCTATCACTGCCTTAAAGCGACAAGGTTTAATGATCATTTATTGAAATTTAGACAACCAAATTAACTAATTTAATGATCTCACGAAAGCATCTTTTGGTTTTATTATAGAATTCGGAAATGTATTATTAATGGTTAAATAAATAAATTTTCGATGCATTAAATTATTCATCTAATTTTAACTATCAATATTTTTTTCATCCATTGAAAAAAAAAAAAGGAAAATTTCTAAAATTTTATATTATTAAGATATTAAAAAAAAAAAAAAAAAAAAAAGAATCTATTTGACTAAAAAATTGTCTAGAATTGTAACATAGCAATGGCAACGGCCAAAAGACTAAATACGACATTGGTTCCGGATAAAATTGAAGGTGCTGAATCGTTAGGTGTTGATGATGGCGATGTACTAGAGATATTAAAGATATTAAAAATAAATATTTTAATTTGAAATTTGAAATTGAGAATAATGAGTTTAAGTAATGTTTTACCTTGATGGGTTACTAGCTGGAGCATCAGTTGTCACAGTTTTACCTTTTTCTGAAGTTTTGGCATCATTTGGAGGAACTTTACCTTCAATAATTTCTACTGGAGCAGTAAATTTGAAACCAGAACCATCATTAAGTCCAAGGTTATAAGTTGAAGGAGGAACATCAACGATCCAATTATAGGATCCAGGTGCAAGCGGCACTGCCTCATTAATTGTTAGAGTGTTTTGAGTATCGGCATCTTTAGCGATTAATAATCCGGTCACGGTGGATGCATCAGCTCCCTCAACAGATGACCATGAAAGCATTACTTTGGCACCTCGAGAAATTGGCCCACTTGGCGTGTTGAATTCTTTAATGACCTCTATAATTGTAGAAGCAGCAAAATGGGATTTTTCAGTTCGTAATTTGCATGTTACGGTTTACAGCTAAATAATTATTATACTTACGAGCTGTTGCCAGAGAAAAGATAAGAAAGAGAACAGTTGTCAATTTTAAAAGACCGGTCATTTTATTTTGTTAAGTAAATGAAGATTAAATGTAGGGTATGCTTTTTAAAAAATTTTTTTTATAAATGCGTTTTTTTAACAGATATGTGTATTTTGTGCAAGTTAAATTTCAAGAAAAACGTTGGAATTTATATAAAAAACAAAATGATTTATTTATTTATTTAAAAATATTTTCTCTCATAGTTTTAATCAAATATAGTTAAATGATTATAAACAAGGGAGTCATAATTTCACTTAAACAAAATGCATATTACGTATGTTATCTGTTTAATAAAATGGTTGACATCATTGAAATAAGCCCATACATTTAAAGGTGTTTAAAATAACCTTATTAAGAAACTTTACTGTACTTGGAAGAAGTTCCCAAAATAAATAGTAAAGATTCTAAAAAAGAATTAGCGTCATGCGCAGTCATGCGCAAAAATCAGCCAGGATCTTTTTTTTTTTTTTTTTTGACTTTGAATTATTAAAAAAAATTTCTTTCTTTTCAATGATGTTAATTTTGGATTTGGATCGATTGTGTACGGAAATAAATACTTGCAATAAAAATCTTAAAAATGTACACATTTTTCTATTTAAGGGAATTTCATAAATTTCTATCGCGGTTACATAAGATTTCTATAATTGTGAATCACGTTAGAAATCAATTAAAAATAAAAATTGGGTGTCTTTGAAAAACTTATCGATTACAACTGTTTAAAGTTTGTTACATTTTTCAAATTTAATCTCCATTGCTTTCTTTTTGAGATTGCATGCGCATATATTATTATTGTATGACAATCAACAATTAATGATTGGATTTGTGTAATAAAAATATTTTCATCACGCGTTCAATAAAAAAAGAAATTCTACCGTATTTTATATTTTTATGTTCAAAAATAAATACATGTATATATATTAGTTTGTTTTTCTTTTTCTTATTCAAGAAAATCCTTACATTTTTATAGGGTTTTGTATTTTTTAGCAGGAATCTTAATATTTCATTCATATGATAAAATTCTAAAATTTATCCGATATTTTTTCTTTTAATTTATTTTGTTGTTCACCTTGCATATTTTGAAGTTTTGGCATTATAGCCATTTTTAAATGAAAATATTGTTTTTTAATAGAATCGATTCATTTAGTGACATGTGACAAATAAAACTTGACTAGCATTAAGAACGATGTTATTTCGCGAATTCATGTTACTAAGTGAAGTATTATACGATAATAATATTATTATGATGATATAAAACCATTCTCATCCGAGTTTCCACCAACATCTATGTGAAAATTATTTTATTACTTTTTTCAATAGACGAAAACATTAGATTTAAAATAAAAAAATTAAATAAGTTTCAACTAAAAATGAATCATCTCACTATATATCATCACTTGAGAATATCATTTGTTAAGTTTGGTTTTGGAATCTAAAATAAAATAAAATTTAATACATTGCTACTTTTTACTTTAATAACAGATTATTTTATCTATTACCTTTATGGTCATCATCATAATCATCATCATCATTCTTTCTTTTTAGTTCATGCCTATTTGAAAACTTTTTAAATTTTGAAACAAAAAATCCATCCATATTATGAACATGAGGATAGAACCTTCTAGTTAGATTCAGGGAAGGATGAAAGATATTGCCTCTGTATCTAAAATGTGGAATATAAAAGATAACACATATCCAATTAACGAATGCCAAAAAAAAAAAATAATAATAATAAAAAAAAATTACATACTTTGTAAATCCTTCCTTTCCGAAATCCAATCCTGTTGGCACTAACTTTACATTGGGACGTTTCTTTAAAGCATAATTTACAACAGTCTCATTTTCTTCAACAGTTATTGAACAAGTGGAGTAGACAATATATCCTCCTGTAGATGATTTGGAATCTACGGAATCAATAGCCGATAAAAGAAGTTCTTTCTGTAAATGAGGTAATAAAATAAAATCCTTTTCCATCTAAAATTTTTATGGTTGAGAAAAAAAATATCAAAGAACAATTATTTTATTATTCTTAAGCTGTAAAAAATACTTTTTCTTAATTACCTTATTTATTTTGATCGATGGATCCTTTGATATGACGCCAGTTCCACTACAAGGAGCATCCAAAAGAACTCTATCAAACCCCCCCAACACGGTAGGAAATTCACGCCCATCATAGTTACAAATTACCGTGTTTTTAACACCTAATCGATGTATGTTGGATACGAGACCTTTAGTTCTTACTTTATTAGAATCGTTAGCAAATATTATACCAGTATTTTTCATTAATGCTGCAATATGTGTTGATTTTCCGCCGGGCGCGGACGCCATGTCTAATATCTTTTCATTTTCTTGAGGTGCTAATGCCATAACGGGTAAAAAAGACGAAGCAGACTGTAGAATGTAATGGCCGGCAAGATATTCGGGCGTAGCTCCTAAGAAACAAATATGTATTAATTTGAGTTACAATGACGATAATTAAAAATAAAACATACCTATTGAAACTGTTGAATCAAATATTGTTAATCCAACCTTTGACCATTTTCCAATTGGTTCCAAGCTTACACCACGATTTATTAAGGACTATAAAAAAAATAACGATTAACGTAATCGCCAAAAGAATTGATTAAAACACATTAAAAGATGAATTCATTATAATACTTGAGCCAATTCTCTACGACGCGTTCGCAAAGTATTCGTTCGAATTGTAACTGGTCTTGAAACTTCGTTCGCTTCAAAAAACTCCAAAGCCTAAATGAATAAATAATCACACGCTTATTTATTAACAAACTGTCATAATTAAAAAATATGATGATTTATTCATTGAATATGACTAGGAAAAAAAAAAAATTAACCGAAAGAAATGACCTAGGATATAGAAAATAGATTAAAAAGTTTTTCTAAAAGGAACTCCGAATAACCATAATAGATTGCCATGTCTTTAATAAGTTGTTGGACATAAGCAAATCTTCCTCTAGAAAATTCACGATAATAAATTATTATAAAACAAACAAGAAGGTTTATAACTTTCGATTGATTTGATTAAAACACCTTTCATGATCCCCTAGCTCCTTAAAATTATTAAGTACTTCTATTATATCGTGAATTCGTTGTGAAATAACTGGTAAATCTTCTGCCTCCGTTTGTTCATTGTCAAAAGGTTGTTGTTTATCTGGTAAAATGAGTTTGTCCATAGAAAGGAATTTTTTTTTTTTTTTTTTTTTTTTTTTTTTTTTTGATGGATCTCAGATCGTTATCGACCGATTTTTTATGCCGATCGGTCAAATTCAGAACAAAATTAGCTTTTGATGCCAGGAAACGATCGAACCAAAACGGTCCTAGGCCAAACTCTCTAACGGGCTGTTAAGTATCATGACAAATTTTATTACAAATGTAAAAAAACATACAACTCGTTATACAGTGGTGTGCAAAAAAAATGAACTTTTTTTTGAAAAATGATCAACTGGCGTAACTTACCCAATTTTGGTCAGAATTACACAAATAAATATGCAAATGAAAGCCTGACG